AAACAGAAGAAGAAAAAAAGGATTACATTTTACAACAAAAGAATTAAAATTAGCTGCCTTGCTGACTTCTCTAGCTAGTTGTTTGAGATCTTACATATGAGGACACTGATCTGGAAAAATAGGGGTTTCTTCCAAAGGAGGCCAGCAACTGATCATTCTTATGCCCGAAGGTTGAAACCGCCGCCGCCCCTCATGGACAAGGTGGGACCGCCGCCTCTGAGCGAACTGCTGGCTCTGCTCAAAAGGCTGGGGTCCACAAACAAAACCACGACCGTGATGTCATCATGGAAATGCCTGCGGACCCCGCGCTCGATCTTCTTCAGGTCGGAGTATCTCATCTCTCTTTTCTTTGCTGCTTCTTGCAATGCAGCTTTCACCAGCCTCCGCGCACTCCCCTGCAACGATGTAAAAAAAGACTACTACTCAATGTTTGATTTATGACCATAAACTCCCTACTTTCAACATAGATAGAAACAAATCTTACATTTTGATGGCCATTCTGTACAATGTCAACTGCCTCTTGATTGCTCAGGTGCTCCCAAAGACCATCAGATGCAAATATGAGAAACCGGTCGTGCGGCTCAAGTTCATGCACTGAGACAGATGGCTCAGAGCTCAGAATTGGCCTTTTAATGTGTTCCCTCAACCGAAATTTGGAGTACAATGGCTCTCTGTTGAACTCTGCCTTTTTTAGGTAGAAATCGCCGATGGATCTTGAAACCTGCAAAAACTTGAGTTGATAATGACTTCTTGAATTTATAGTCTAACAAGTTGATACAAAAGACATAGTAACAGACCTGTATCAAACCCTTGACCCGCCAAACATTATGCTTCAGAACAACAACATGGGGATCATCTGGATGCATTGAACGCAGTTCTTGTCTGATAGACTCTACACTGGCGTTGTGCTCAATTGACAGCTGGATGGCAACAACCTCTCCGGTTGCCTTCACAAGCCTCCCCAAGACAGCCCGCGAGTCGCCGAGGTTGGCAATGTAGAGGGTCCCGTCACAGACAATGCCAACAAGGCAACAGGACCCCACTGCAGCCATCTGCGGATTCATTGGCCAGTGTTTGGATACTATTGATTGGAACCCGTCTTCTGTTGCCTGATATGCTTTCTTTATTACGTCCACTGACATCGACTTCTGCTCTGTTGCAAACCCTGTGTTTACATATGTTGGTGCAAAATAAAGTTCTCAAGAGAATGAATACAAGTTTCAAAATGAAATGAAAGTGTCTGCATGTAGGAAATCTGTTCGTTTAGGCTCCGTTTGTTTGCAAGTAGTGTTTTTTTTCCTTTTTTATCTGAATTGGATGTGGTACTTTTGTGGGAAATGGCCTTCGGTCTTGAATTATTCTTTCACCAAGATAGTAAGTTGTTATAACAACAGCCTCAAGTCAAGGCTTATGCATATAACAACTTACTATCTTGGTGAAAGAACATTTTCCGGGGTAAGTTATTTTAAGAAATATTTACATTAAATAACACTAAAACTTAAGTCATTTTCCAATGTAGCACTTAAACTTTTTTATTCCCTAAAAAGCACTTAATAATGTCCAGAAGGAGGAATAATGTAAGTGATTGTGAACATTTACTTGAATAATGACTAATGAATAATGAATAATGACTAAAAGTCCTACATTGGGAAATAAAAACATATGATGTTATTTAGAGAAAGTCATTATGTTTCAGTGCTATTTAGGTAAATTCCTCTTATTTAAATTCTAGAAAACAAACAAAGCATTGAAGGGTCAAGACTTTGCTTACTCTTGAGATTTTGAAAAAGATGATCGTTGATGAACCGGGACGTTTCTGGGCCTCCATGGCCATCATATACTCCTACAAACGTTCCATGTGGACCAGAATCAAGAAAGCTCAAAGGACCAGATTCGATCTGGCTTTGATCTTCAAGCAAATTGTTAGCTTGTACAACAGCCATTGAAAAATCACCAACCAGATGCTGTCCACTGTCCTTGTACCAAAGAAGTCCATCTTGCCGCCCGGTAGCTTTAGAGCCCGAATGTGATGGCCGCCAACACGCCTTCAGGAAATTTATCAACTTCGATAACATCCCTCATTTCACCCTTGATCACTTCCGGTTTATCAACATCCGAAACAGATGCAATGAATGAAGACTAAAATCTCCTTTCCTTCCTAATCTCTGTGATCCTACAAATTCAAAGGGCAAAACTGGAATCATACAAAACTCAACCCTAATACCCATGAACCTGAAGAATCCCTGAATTGACTTTAAAGCTGATGGCTTTATAGCAAGAACACAACACAAAAGCCAATAACCAAACAATCCAGTCTATTTCACTATTTCAGCTCAAGAAAAGTAAACAAAATCTCCAAGATTGGAACTTGGAAAAGCTGAAGACATCAGCAATGTCAAGCAGGTGTGGGAAGAGAAAGCAAGAATCAAACTTTCATTTCTGTCAAGACTAAGAACAAGTCAATTCAAAGTCCACACAATCAAACCCCACCAAGGGAAAAAAAACAAAGAAAAGAAGAAGAAAAAAGTCACAGAACCAGCAATAGAATACAGACAAACATGAAACAGGTACTTAAAATGTTAAAATATAGAAAGGCAAGAAGACTCACAGTATTGTAGTCAACTACTGAACCTTGCTAGCTGAAAAAGGATTGAGATCTGAATCAAACTTAGCAAACCACTCCTTTCTCAAAGGGTTAGATCTATAAATTCATCAAAGACCCACTTTCCATAATAGACCCTTCAACAAATATATACATGTATTTATATAGACATATATGGATATATAGAAAGGGAGATGTGACGAATCTTCCTGTAAGTTTCACTTCCTTGATATGATTCTTGATCTCCTTCAAAGAACAGGAAGAAGATAAAAGGTGGGTTTTTTTTTCTCTGAACCAGTGTGGGTGATTGAACAAACTCAATAACTCTCTGTTTATGACCACTACTATGGACTTTTTCCCCCCTTTACTCTCTCTCTCTCTCTCTCTTCGTCCTTTCTAGTGTATTTCCGAGCTGAGTAGCTGACAAAAGCAAGCTTATATACTCCGTGTATTGGAGGTAATTCCTATATATAAAAAGAATTAAGCTATTTATATTTCAAAAATTATACTCCGTATTCCATTTTATACTCTAGAGGGAAGATGCATGTATTAACATTTTATACTAGTGTAATAGTTTACAATGACACAAAATGTCATTACAGTTTTTTTTATTACACTAACATTTTATGCCAGTGTGAACGGTGAAGATGTGATGTTTTTCTTTGAGATACATTTCTTAGTATATCCCTAGCATGGTTGATATAAAAAATTTAAAAAGGGCATTTTACAGGTGGGCGTAGCTCAGCTGGTTGAACAAAGGGTGCCGTAAATCCGAGGTCCTCTATAATTACCAAGTACCCGGATTACATATTAGATACTACCTCCGTCCCAGAGTATTTGTCCACTTTCATTTTTACACACCATCCAATACAGTTCTTTAATTCATTTTATCTTGTAATTTATATATTAAAAAATTATAGAAATTATATATTAATAATCAATATGTTAAGACAAATCAAACAAGATCACATATGACTATATTTAGGCTTACACATTGAGAGAATTTGATGAGTCAAAGTGCTTATATGAATAAATTCAAAAGTCAAAATTGGACGAATACTCCGGGACGGAGGGAGTATTTTTTTTGTAGAGGATAAAGAAAGTGCGTCGTTAAATGTGTATTTGCATCAATTAATGTTTCTTGAAAGTTACTCGTCAGCCCTTTTTCAGGAAAAATGAAAACCCAACAAAATTCAAGGCTGAAAGCCAGCTGTAGAAAAGGTGGGTTGCAGTGTGGTCCAGCAGCTCCTAACCACGGAAAAAACAAACAAGAAACATTCTCTCTTCAAAGGCCCTGTTTGGGAATAGCGTTAGAGATTAGCGTTAGT